CGATATTGTTACGACCAGCTCCCTGCTGGTGGACCAGATGTTACATGTGACGAGAATAAACGCTCACATGACAGCGTCAACGAGACGGCCTCAGGTGCTTTACAGACAAACGATGATATTCAACAAATACTGTATCTGTTACTAATACAAACTCATCATATTATGAACTATTATAAAATAAATACTTATAATTTTGACTATTAACTTGTAACACTGTGAACATGTCGAACCCAAGAAGAAACAGCTTCAGTGAAACAAAAACTAACTCGCAGTAGATTTTTACTCCATGGATGTTTTATCAGAAACAAAAATGGTCAACGCCTTAGGTTCTTTTTCAACATGTTTCACTCGTAAATCATATACATATGGTCTTTTGTTTTGTCTTCACTCCTGGCGGACGTGGACGTCCTCGGCCAAACAGGGGCTGTAGCAGGCTCGGCTTTAGAGTGAAGGTAATCATATGAAACTACGGTACCAACCATGTCCTGCTAGCTTGTCGTGAAAGATGGTAAATGAGGCTCTGAAGGTATTCTAAATATTGGCTGGTGAAAAACTGGCATGACCATATTCACTGGGGTCCTTTGACCTGATTTAGTAGAACTTGACACACAGTGCTGAGCTTCATCTCAATTTAATCTTCAGGTTCCCAGCGTTCAGATGATACAGTAGTACACACACTTCTAGTATGGCGTATACTGTTAACCTGCCATCTGTCCTCCCCCCTCCCAAAAGAAAGACAATGAGCGTACGGTTGGTCTTGTTGGTCCTATTTCTTCGTGCTTTGCTGGCTTTTACAGCACATTACCGCCTCATATGCATTTCCGCATGTGTATCCCATGGACATCTTCACTAGTTCTACAGTCTCCACAGGGCACCTTTGAGACGAGCTTCTTCCTAAATGAGGCCTCCAGCGTTTGACTGGAGTGACACGTACTCGTATAAATTGACGAGAATAAACTTTAAAGCTTCTAAAAGAATGAGAGGAATGTTAATTCCCTTCCTGGCAACATCTAAGAGACATTTTATAAAACTAGATGTTTTGCTATCTTTGAATAAATCTCTGACGACTTCAGGCAACGACGTGCACAGTGGTTTGGAACAAAATTCCTCATTCAGCTTCTTCTTCTTCTTTTCAAATACAGGAGGGCATCGAAAGTGTCTCGAGCCCAACATGCGGCGACTGAAAAGGCCGTTACGTAAATATAAAGAATATAAAAGGCCTCTGCCTATTAGGTCAAGCCCAGCCATGCTTGAATAGAATGACTGTGAAAAGTCAACATTTCTTCTGGTGCGGCCCATGTGATGTGGTGCGAGAGGCGCGCTCAAAGGAATGCCAATGCAGTGAGGGTTTCCCTTGTGCTGCTGCTGCTGCTGTGGCTCTATGTGCTTTAGGAGAGCTAACCCAGTGACGTAAAGGGCCATCTGTGGGGGGGAGCGGGAGACAATAAACACCCCACGGGGGGGGGGATAACAAGCCGCTAATATTAGCTAAATAAGAGAAAGCGGGGAATTCATTTTCATACCAGCAAATGTCAGATTTGCTGCTTTGCTATTGTGTTTATTCTTCTTTGGTCTTCGCCGTTATCGTCTGCCGTAGAGCTGCAACTAACTCTTTCATGATCAACGAATGTGCTGTTTGTTTCCTTGATTAATCATTAAGTCGATCAGTGTCAGAAAATCCTGAAACAAGACTTTGAAAGTCTCCTTTTGTCCGACCAACAGTTCCAAACTCAAAAATATTCCGTTTATTATGACGTAAAACTGAGAAAAGCAACAAATTCTCACGTTAAAGAATCTGCAACCCAAGAATGGTTGATAGCTTTGCTGAAATAATAACTTAATATAATAATATTATATAATGAATTGATTTCCTGTATAGTAGCCTATCGATTTTCCAACCAACTAATCAATTATACGACTAATCATTGCAGCTCTAATTTATTGTGTTGCTAATTAACTGAAGGGACAATCTCCTAGAAAACAAAACAATTCCACAACCACAAAAGCTCAAACTATACTTTAAATATAACAAACTAATACTTACTGTAAGATATTATGTAGTGAGGTTACCTTATAACTTTATGTAATATAGTAAGTTCTGAGGCAATACACATTGTACACAATAGATGTGTATTTCTAGAATCAATAGAGGAAAGCTGTATAATACCATTATCAGCAGAAATAATCCATCGTTTGAGTGCAGAAACATTTTTTGGGTTGACTTATGAGCTGCCAGGTTTCACCAGAGACAATGAAAGCAGATGCTGCCTGAGGCTGAATGTTCGTGGATGTCACGAACTACAAAATAAACCATAGAAATCTTTCTATTCTTGAGGTTTCGTCAGTATCGTGGATATGGTGCTAAACATATTACGTGTGCCCCGAGGATGGCACTCAAGAAAAGGTCAGAGGGTCATAAAAACCAAAACGGGGTTTTCCCTTTGATAGCCAAAATGTCATGGCGGTCTGCCAACTAAGATATGAGAAATAAAGAGCTAGGAGCAGGAATTAAACAGAAATCTATGGCAATCTTTGGCTGTTTGACGAACCAACCGACCGACAATGTCATCCGTTTGCTTCCATCAATATACATTTCTGGGTTCCACAGTCAAAAACCTAAAAGAGTTAACTGCCTCTCTCTCATTCATATCACTGTTAATTAAATACCACGGACCACCAATTGTAAGACGACAATCAATAATGGAAAAGTTAGTTGCAGCTATAATCTCTGGAATCTGGATGAACAAATGAGATCACCATTAACAACTTCCCACAGATTTCTGGGAAATGCAGTGGAAAAACACAACAATGGCTGCTCAGCACCAAAGATGACAACAAAATAAAACCCCACAACACATACCAACACGGCTTCCAGTCCGCCGCCCACACACACATTCACACCGGCCCGATCTCGATCCAGGAAGGTTACTGTGAAGGTTTCATCTGTCCACCGTGCTGCTCGTTGTTGACTGGTGAATACTTCTGTGTCATTATGCGCGGATCAATAATTGATGAGTAAGGACGATATGATGCCGCTTTCTTTCTTTATTTGCACCGGCAGATAACTTGAACAATCCTGCAGGTCAACTCACCCCCTCAAGTTACAGCATTAAATATTCAAGCCGTACCTTTGCATAATTTACCTAGTCAACATACTGAGGAAGTGACTCGTGGGGGGGGGAAATAGGGACTGAATGGTTTAAGTTTGAGGGCAGGAACTCGGACCCCGGGACATTTTAAACAAACTCGTCTTCAGGCAAAATGATGCCGAGGGCCGTTTTACTGCAGCGGCTCTGTGTGCATGATGCAAGTGAGCCCTTACATGTCCATGCAGGGATCAAACGGGGAAGCTAATTTTACTAAACAGACACTAATCTAACCGTATTCATCTTTAGGCCGGCTGTCTGCTGGGTGTTTCCCCCGACTATCCTCGCCCTAAATGTTTCAGCCTTTTGTTTAAAACACCGGAGAGTGTGTTAGCCCGCTCTTTGGTACCAGCATAATGGTCATCCCTGTCATGTGATCTCTGCAAAAAAAAAAAAAAAAAAAAAAAAAAAAATTCCAGAGTGGCTACCGAAGCCCGGCGCACATGGCGGCCCTTTTCTCGACCAGATGTTTTTCGTTTGTGCTGCTGCAGTCTCTGGGTTCAGAGGCACGGAGCCAGAGAGGTGATTCATGATGCGAGCCATTCCCTCGTTACAGTCAGCAGACACAGAGTGGAGAATAAACACGGCCCTGGTCCTGTTTTGGTGGATTTTTTTTTGTCATCATGATATAATAGGCTTGTAAAAGATAGAAGTGATGGATAGCACGGACGGTTTGTTGAAGTGGCTGTTAATACGTCGAAGAGAGGACTAGGCCTGTGCTCTTTCCCTTTAAACAAACATATCTGGTTACTGTCCTGCTCATCTTGTACTGTTTACATGTGACCTGTACAGTTATTTAGTCACAAATAAACCCCATTTGGTGTCTGTCTCACATGACAGATTACACTAAAGACTGTGAGTCTGACGTCATTCACGTCTGCAGCTAAAAGCAGGAAATGAGGTCACATTTTGGCGTTAGCGGACAACGGAGAAGGTGTGCGCCACCCTGGTTTGATGCTCCAGTTAATCGCAGCAGGAAGGATGATGGTCGGGGGTGGGGAGATGGGAAACACACCCACCCACACACACATATAGCAACCCACCTGCCTGGCCCGATTACTCTCTCCCCCCTACACACACACACGATCGAAGGTGACACAGCATCACAGAGTGTGACTTTGGGTGTGTTTCTGCACCGCATTTCACTTTTTTGAGGATAAATATTGCATTTTTTAACACAAATCTGGCCTATACGAGAGCGGGGAATCTCTATAATCCTGACAGTTAAATCCAGATTTGACTGCCAGTGACTGGGGAAGGTCTCTCTCTCTCTCTCTCTCTCTGTCACACACACAGTGCCACAGCCTGGCAGCATGCTCTGAAGCTGTGAGTTATGTAACTGTGAACACAGAGAGAGAGAGCTGCAGGCCTGAGTGCACATCCTCCTATTGCCTACACATCCACCCACCCTCTATTATTACTCCACATATCTGGTAAGAAAGGAGCAGCAGATCCACAGGATGAGAGGTCACCTACATGCACCAGCTCTGCACTAACTATCTGTCTGTGTGTGTGTGTGTGTGTAGGGGGGGGGGGCGGGAAATGCACATTTTTTGCCATCAGGTTCAATAAAAAAATGCACTTTCACAGCAACTGCAGCTCAACAGGTGCAATTATTTTATTTTCTGTTGCGACACAATAATGCATTTGGGCCTCTAATGGGATTTTAAACTGAAACCAGTGAATTTAGGGTTGATTGCATGTATATAAACTGCATTCCACCATGTAAAAACCTGTTGTATGTGCTTTAAATATGCATTTTTTTAATATAATAATATAGTATTTGGTGTTGTTTAATCAGGCGTCTTCAATCATCCATCCATCCATCCATGCAGGCGGACACCGTGGCCTTACCTCCTCCAGCACATTCACGGTGTTCCTGCAGCTCTGCAGCCGGGTGGTGAAGCTGGATGTTGTCGGGGAATTGTAATCCTCTGTCGTCTCCGAGAGAAACTCGGACACCGATATTTGATCCGGCATCCTTTAAACTGGTGGCTGGTGGGGAGGGAGGGGGGAAATGCCCACAAGAGGAGCCGATGGAAGGGGAATGCCGATTTTCCTCGCGAAACTGTGTTAAACTAGAGATGATTAAGACGTGTCTTCTTCTCAGATGACTTCACTGCAGGGAATTAACTAAATGTCTGCAGGATGTGTTCCCTCGGCGCGTCTTTTTCCTCGAGAGGATGTCTAAAAGCGATGCACGTATAAATAGTGTCACTCTGCGTCTATAACTAAACCTCGGAGGAAAAACCACCGTAAAGAATAGCGGATGCCCTCATTATATGCTCTACAGATGTTCAATAAACCGCTTGTCGTCCAAACAGCGCACCGTTACCAGCCTCTGTTTAGATTCTATCATAGTCCATGTGGTCTGCCGAGGTCGTCTCTCGCTGCAGCGGGATTTGGTCCTCCTTTCTCCGGCCGTAGTTTGTGGTTTTTTAACGCTAAAAGGCTGCCGCAGACACATTCACTGCCACTCTCTCCTGCTCGGCCGCGCTCGAGCTTTCTCAGAGCTAGGGTCAAGCTAGCTGGAAAGAATGATCTCATTTCCGGTGAAGGTTTTCAAACTAAGACCCCGGGGTGACTTCAATTTGTTAATCCCCAAATGAGTATAGACGTCTTCATTAAAAAAACAATATATATATACATATGTTTCCCCTTGTCACATAAAGCAGGCCAATGAACATATAAGTCTGCAAAATGTAATTATTTTAGAAAACCCATTTGTTGCACAAATTCAATTTTATCGACTATTTTTTTTAAATAGATGTCAACTTTTGTCACATTTTGTTAGTATTGCCCAGGATTCAGTGGTTAAATGGCAAATGTGTTCAAACTTCAGCACATTTTAGACTAATAAGGACTAATAATCAGCCGGTTTAATACAATATTGACACATAATTGTAGCTATTGTACTACAATTAATTGATTAATTTGAAATTTAAAAAACTAAATGTAAGGAGCTTCTGATGATATATAATCACATTTGTATCATAATGTAATGTTTTAACAAAAAGCAGAACGCTGTCCTCACGATGTAGTCTTACTCTTTTATTTTGAAAACAAACTACCTATTTTACGGCATTTTGTTCATATTGGTGGCAACTTGACGCAACTCTTCCACCCACTTCGCCCGGTCGACGGGGGCCGAGATGTCACTCAGCGCATGCGTGATCTGGAATCTAGAGCCCCGCACCACTGAAGGCCTGCTTACCGCAGAAAACAACGATTTACAGACAAAATAAACATTAACGTTTCGTTTGTTTGACTTGAAGCGACAACTAGAAGGATATATATTTATAATTATTATTATATTTATAATCTTGAGTGTCGTCAGAAGAATATGAGCCTATCATAGGCATGAGCTGATAAAACTGAACAGTTGGTTTTAGTGAGTTTGGACTAGTGTCCCCTACTGTCAGATGAGTTTATTTCAATTTAGTTCAGCTGAATGTCACATGAAAAAAATTGTTTTCTGTGTATTAAGTTAGTGTTCATGTATTAATGCCATGTAGGTGTCTAAAGAATCATTTTATGAATTTATAAAGTATGTCATTGTCTGTGTGATAAATCTTTTTGTCCTTTTAAAATAAATCCAGTTCAGTTTAATTAATTTAAAACGCCATTGTCCTCAAGGGAAGAAGGTTTGCATCCAGAAATAAGGAAATATGTCAAACACATGTAATACAATATGTGTATTATAATACACAAACAGATATTTGCCACAAAGTAACATATACTACTTCCTTTTTTAAACCAACTTCACAGCTGTGTGTCTTAATACCTTCAAAATCTTAGAGATATTAAGCCTTATTCTCACCACAGAAGTCATGATTTATCCTAAATAGTTGCTTAGGTTGTTATATATAATATATTTTGTAAAATCATATTAAGTGCACTCAAAGAGCAGCCTAACAACACCCACTACTACTTTTTAAATACCCACATTTTAAAACAGTTACCATAGAAAACACAGAAACATGCAAAATTATGAAGTATATGTTAATATTTTTAGACTTATTTCGATTTCACCCACTATTCTCCACTAGAGAAGCCTCTCTATTCCATATTGTACTAATCCAAACATGGAGCGCCACCTTGTGGCCGTTCACTAGTATTATTTTCTGTCCAATTTATTATTATGCCTTGAATGGGTTGTCCTCACAAATTAATATTATACCCATAAGCCGGACTCAGTCATATTCCAAACTATAGTTTCAAAACCACAATGGTATCAAATAGAGTTTCTGTAGAAGGAAGTATTTTATGTCCGGTTATTTGAATTCTGTTTACCTTTACTTTGAAAAACACTGACCGGAAGTTCCGCTTTTGCTAGCTTCTGCTTTAGCTAGCGTAACGTAGCTTGCGTTAGCTTTAAGCTAGTGTGATAAAGTGAGTTGAAGGTAGGAGATTGTTGCTGCTGTTTTTAGAGAGTTCGTCTCAGGTTTTAACAACCAGAAGACGAGTGAAGAAGTGGATACTGTTGCCGAGTACCTGGACACGGTTGTCATCTCCCACATGTTGGCACATGTCTCACATGTTGGCCTCAAACTTGAGTAGAAATAACCAGAGTTCAAACCGAATGGCTGAGGGCTCCTCAGGTAACTAGCATGCTGTCGAAAGAACGTGTCCATACAGGGGAAAAACAAGTTCTTAATGTCCAAATTTAACTTAATTGTTCTGTAACGATAGACCGCCTGATCAAACATGCTTTCTATCGTTTTACACACTCTTTATTTGGTAAATAAGCTCATTTGGTTGCATTAGCTGACGTTAACGTTCAGCTAACATTAGCGAGCTGAAGGCTAACGTGACGTCAGCCTTTAACGTTACTGTGGTCATGCTATCCGTAGACATCACGTGACATTGAACTTTGTAAGCCAACGTTACACCTGACCTGTGATCCATTATTTATGATTGTTAGCTTAGTTATTAATGTTAGTAGCCTGTGCTATAACTGCTGGCTACATAACCCAAGCTTGGGTTGTGATTGAGTAGTAAATCAACAGCAAAATGCTGAATTGCTGAGTTACTTTGTTTATTTGTGTTGGTCATACTGCATTATGTAAGTTTTAAGACATTATTTTGGGCTCTGGTAGAGAATTATTGGTTGTAGACTGATTTAAAGACACAGTAATTGACCGGTGAATCATGGATCATCATGTTTTCATTCCGTCTTTGTAGCATATTTACTGTAGCTGCATTATCATACACAAAGCTTTAGGCTTTTAACGTTGTCACTTTCTCTGTTTGCAGACCCACCTGACCTCAATCCAGATGAGGCGTCGCACCAAAAACAATATCCGCACAAATCCAGAAGAGGCCGGTCCAGATACACCAATGACAGAAACCTGAATAGTTATGATCCTCCTCAACAATACGGACACGTTCATCAGGGCTTTAAACCCCCATTTAGCCACGATAATTCAGATTATGCATCGCATCAGCAGCCTCACTACCAGGGAGAGGATGGAGCCAGGAGGCGAGGCAGAGGTAGAGGGAGGAGAGATGGAAATAGAGGTGTAAATGGCTCCAGTTGCCAAAGAGCCGGAGGTGACTTTGGCCCATATAGTGCTAACAACAGGGGTGCCGGAGGTTTTCATTCTCGGGCACATCTCATGGATGATGGACCTGATGGACGCAGCTGGCGAAGAGAAGATGCAGGTGGGATTCTTGAACAAACCAGCGAGGACCCAGATGCCGGGGCTAAAAGAGCCAGGAAGTTTAGCCAGGAGCAGTGGAGAGGACCACTAACTGAAAAGAGTACTCGCTTAAAAGAGAAGAACGCTGCAGGAGAAGGTCAGAGATCAAACGACGCCAAACGAGAAAACCCCTCTTTAGACATCAGGGAAAGAAGTCAGAGGAGCAGGACAGGTCCAGACTATCAACACGATGATCATCAGAGGAAACATGCCGAGGTAAAACGACGTCAGGGGCCAATTAAACCGCCCAAATTACCACCTCAAGAGGAAACTCGCTCAGAGAGGGGGGCCAGTGTCCAGGATGACTCTGACTATGGCAGATCCTCTCAGGATGCTGCCTGTAAAGCTGGACGTGGCTCAGGACGACACACACCCCTTCAGGCCAGAGGAGGGAGAAGAACAACGCATCATCAGAACCCCAGGCCAGGCCAGAGGAGCTGGGACAAGGTGCCAGAGAGCAAGGAGACGCAGACAGGTTAGACCATAACTCCTGTAAACTCGTATAGAAAGAGTTGTTTACTATATTTGTAATATTACGGGACGCCAACATAACTCTACCACTCACAGTAGACATCTCGCGTCATTTGGCGGTATCCAAAATGAATATTGGAGCTGCCTGTTCTTGAGGTTAAAGAATCTTTTCTCAACTCTTCCCTCCACAGGGTGTCTGATCGAACAGCTGTCTGAGGAGAAGTATGAGTGCATGGTTTGCTGTGACGTCATCCGCTGCATGGCCCCGGTGTGGAGCTGCCTGAGCTGCTTCCACGTCTTCCACCTGAACTGCATCAAGAAGTGGGCTCGATCCCCGGCCTCCCAGGCAGACGGTACAACCCTTAAACTACATCACAGCCCTGACTCACACTCCGGCCTCAGTATGGTGGTCTCTGTGAGGCTACGAAACAACAGCGTAATGCATAACGCTGTTGTGTGAATGGACAATAGCTAGACGCTGTGGCCCCATTAACAAAAAGGCTTTGAAGTTCCTGCTACATCAACAATATATTGTATCACATTGCAGTTTGGAGTCCAGAGGGAATATCTGTTGTTGTCTTTATGGAAAGTTTATATAAACAATATATATTTTTATTAAAACATGCTGTTTCTCAGAATCGGCTGAAGGTTGGCGTTGTCCGGCCTGCCAGAATGTTGCACCGAAACAACCGACCTCCTACACCTGCTTCTGTGGTGAGTGACTGTTTCATTCATGCAATTAAATACATTTTATGAGTAGTGATTTATTAGTTGTCCGGTTGGATAATTGAATGTATAATTTGTTCTTGTGAGACTTCTTTTCTCCCCCGTTTAAAGCAAATCAAGTCTTTCACCGAAAGTGAGTAAAACAAGGTCATCACTCTTTTTATTCAACTTTTGATTGGCAGGTAAAGTGACAAACCCAGAGTGGCAGCGCACTGAGATCCCCCACAGCTGTGGTGACATGTGTGGGAAGAAAAGAAGCGGAGCGGACTGCAACCACCCCTGTAACATGTGAGCCTTAAAAATCACAGGATTATTAGTATTATTATTAGATGCAATCCTAAAGTCTATAATTTTATCGTAACTGGGAATCTAACTCTACCAATGATACACAAGAAGTACAATTTTGTGTTTAATATGTTGTGATAATTCCAATGAAGTACAGATTTAGGATGTATTTAAATAATTTAAATAGTACAGTCTGTGTATTTAATTCTCCTGAAGAGTATTTTTGTTAAACAGTATTTTCTGTGTCTCCCTTCAGCTTATGTCACCCTGGACCTTGTCCACAATGTCCCGCCTTCATAACGAAATCCTGTATCTGTGGGAAGACCAGGTCCGCTACCTTTGAATCCTGTTTGCTCCTCTCTATCTGTGTGTCTTTGTGTGTTTATCTGTTTACCCAAAGAGATTGCTTCCTTTTCTGTTATCTGTGTTTTTGACACCAGTATTGATAGAACTTTATCTTTGCAGTCAACCAATGCGCTGTGGCCAGGGTGCAGCGCTCCGGTGTAACGCGGCGTGTGCTGCCTTACTCAACTGTGCCAAACACACCTGCACCCAGGTGTGCCACAGTGGGGCGTGTCAACCCTGCCAGCTGCAAGTTCAGCAGGGTGAGTCTCATGTTGGCAGCTCCATACAATGTTCTGACAGATAAAAGTTTGTCTTTTGATTTGACCTGGTTTCTCCTGTTTTTATTGTCTTTAGGGTGCTACTGTGGCGTCACCGCTCGTGAAGTCCTGTGCGGCACAGATAAAGACGGATTCGATGGTTCGGGACATTTCTCCTGTCAAAAATTATGCGGGAAGTAAGTCTGACCTCGTGTCACTAATGACGTCCGTCCTCCGTTAGCCTCAGTTGGACAGTTCCCACCACTGCCTCACACTCCCTTTTCAGGATGCTGAACTGCGAAACTCACCGGTGCCAGCTGGAGTGCCACCGCGGCCCGTGCCAGCCGTGTCCCCGCTCCCCGAGCCTGGTGAAGACGTGTGCCTGCAGTCAGACGCTGCTGGCCAAGCTCCTGGAGCTGGGCTACTCTGAGCGCCGGAGCTGCTCTGATGCCATCCCCTCCTGTGGGAAGACCTGCAACAAGCCCCTGGCCTGTGGCTCCAGCGGTAAGGGAGACGGACAAAGTGTGTGTTTTTCAAAAGATGGCGTCTGCCCGTCGACGTTCCTCAGACTCTCCCACTAGATTCTGAATAATTTCTCATAGCAAAGTGGAAGAGGTTAATGGAGGGAAGTGAAGCTGCCCTCACAAAAGATCTGAAACTGACCAGGTGGAGGATATGAAAACTTGAAAATGTCAAGTAGCAATATTTCGGTATTTGAGATTCCGGGTCAGACATCTTGTTTCGTTTGTCTGCTTTATCTTCATCCGTCCACATTTAAAGACCGTAAAAAGGTTTTATATTTGCTTGTATATGCTGAGGTTGTTCTTTTTCCTCACATCATTTTATTTCGTGTGTTCAGACAGGACGTGCATTGTGTTGAGCTCGCGTGCGTTGTTCTTACACTTTGTCAGGACTTAAATATCCTTGTTTATTTCAGACACCATCCATCTGTGTGAGAAGATGTGCCATGAGGACAGCTGTGGTCCCTGCTGCCTGACCTCCACTATCCGATGCAGATGTGGCTCCAAGACCAAGGTAGGCAGAAACCTCAGCAGAACGTTTATCATTTATCATCGCTGTCATTGGTTATGCTTTATTTATGATATCAAAGAACTTAAAAAGAATCCTTTGCTCTTCAGGAGGTCCCATGTGCAACGATCCAAAAAGAAGGTGAGATTTAAACACATGTGAGGTCACCATCTACTTGCATTGTCTGGTATTTCACCTCTGGCTCTTTCTATTCTAGAAGAGCTCGTTTTCACTTGTGAGAAGCGCTGCAACAAGAAACGCTCCTGCGGCCGACACAAGTGCGGCGAGCTGTGTTGTGTGGTGAGTATCCAGTGACTCTGTTTCAGTGACTCTACGTAGAAGTTAAGAAGTTGAGAAATGGCAAAAGAGCTGAAAATATGCTGGTTTTTATACTGCTGAACATCCATTATAAGCACTGTAGGCAAGTTAACCTGACGAATACATACTAAACTAAATTAAAGTATTACAATCATCACTTTTATGTGAGTTTTTCATGCAAGCTCGACACATCTGGAGATGACACATGCGTCTGATAAAGTGTTTAATACAATGAATCAAAATGGCGATAAAAGTGTTGTCATTGGGGCAGCGCTAGGCTATAGGTGGTGTCACTGGTTTCTGTCTGTCCGTCCAGAACGTGGAGCACAAGTGTCCTCTGATCTGCGGCTACAAGCTCAACTGTGGCCTCCACCGCTGCCAGGATTCTTGCCACCGTGGAAACTGTGAGCCCTGCTGGCAGTCCAGTGAGTCCTGCAGCTCCAACAGCACTGTATTCATGAGCCAAGTCTCAGAGGAACCACATCCTGCCATTCGAAAAACAATAAAAAAAGTCATTTGACATTGTTGCATAGTTTTTCTGTCCTCTGTGGCGTTATGTCTTGACATTAATGTGCCATGATTTATGACTTGTGTTCCTGTGATTCCTTTGTTTTGTAGGTTTTGATGAGCTGGCGTGTCACTGTGGACTCACTGTCTTGTACCCGCCAATCCCCTGTGGCACAAAGCCACCAGAGTGCAAAAGCATGTGCACGAGAAGACACGAGTGCGACCACCCAGGTGAGATAATAGAAAAAAAGAGCAAACGTTCACACTGCAGTTCTAAACCATAAATGAGAATCCTAACATTTATCTCTCATTTAGTGTTCCACAACTGCCACAGTGAAGACAAGTGTCCGCCTTGCACGTACCTCACTCAGAAATGGTGCATGGGAAAGCACGAGGTAACGTCCCCCGAGCTGCATAACTCGTTTTACTTTCTTTATATTCCTGTGATTTAAAGTATTTCTCTTTGGCCCGCAGCAACGCAGCAACATCGCATGTCATCTGCAAGACATCTCCTGCGGCCTGACGTGTAACAAAACGCTGCCGTGTGAGATGCACCGCTGCCGACGGATCTGCCACCGAAGCGAGTGTTTGGGGGGAGGCAGCTGCCTGCAGCCGTGCGCACTGCCGCGTCCAGACTGTGGCCACCCGTGCTTCGCTCCCTGTCACAAAGGCAGCAGCTGCCCACGCACCACCTGCAGCGCCAAGGTACACCAGCTGGACTCCCAGCAGCAGAAACATGGGTTGCAAAGTCTGCGCAGATTGTCGTTGTGTTCAGTACAGATGTGTATTCTTTCTGTTCCTGTTAGCCACATGTCGGTGCAAGCTGCTCTAATAGTGTGCAACTGTCATAAATAGTTCACTTGGGATCAAGTAATAACATTTCGGTGGCAGTCCTCCAAACTCAAAAGCTCAACAAACAATGAGAACTTTCACAGCTGCAGGAATGTCTCACACGAGCAGCACCAAACCACAAAGTGACATATTTGTCTTCTTACAAAAAGCCTGAAGTCGATTCCAGTGCATGTGAAACACTACCGGTGGGAGTCTGATTCTTCCTTTTCACAGGTCGCTCTACAATGCGACTGCGGTCGAAGAAAGGAAACGGTGGCCTGCACAGAGGCAACCACTTCATACCAGAGGTCAGTTAAACCGTCTCCGTGCTCGGCTGTTTGGATGTTTTTGAATGTGAGTGCGTTTTTTGAAACGTCCCTTGATCCCTCTGCGCCACCAGGTATGCAGCCATCGCCATGGCCAGTAAACTGTCTGACATGCAGCTCGGCGAGTCGATGGACATCGGCCCGCTCCTCACTAAGAAGGAGCTCAAGCAGACCAGGTATTCAGCAGGGTGTGGCCAACGCCGTTGGTGTGGAGTGTTTGAGGAAGCGAGGCATGTTTCTCTGCAGTGGTTTTAGTACAACCGCGAGGCACGATGCTGTTTTCTTTCAATCAATAATAAAACATTATTTAAATAGTCCTCTGCATAGAAATTGATTTCCTGTTTACTATGAGGGATTACTTTTTGTTTGTGCATTAATATTTAAATCAATCAATCAGAGGCAATGCATTTAATGTATTACATCAGCCACTCGGAACTATCCGGTGATTCATAAGAAGCATTTTAAGACGGCAAACAAAGAAAGAAACGAGGAGTGAAACGTGAAGATGTGATTTGAGATCTGCCTGCGTGTTTGTGCAACTCATCCGGTTTGTTTTCTCAGGCTTGACTGTGATCAAGAGTGCGCTACCTTGGAGAGAAACAGGCGCTTGGCGGAGGCGTTGCAGATCGACTTATCTTCTGACCCCTTCAACGCCCGCTCTAGTTCTGTATACAGCGACAGCCTCAAAGACGATGCCAGGTCCGACTTTTACGCTTCCGTCTGTTTTACCGCGTTTATTGCCGGCCATCTTGTTTGTTCCCCACGGACAGAAAATACAGACGTTCTTCTGTTCCTCCTCTCTTTTAGGAAAGACCTGAAATTTGTCACCGAGGTAGAAGAGGAGATCAAGAATCTTGTTGAGCTTGCTAATAAGGTAAGATGAGACGAGTACAGACGGTTTGATGTGCTCCCTCTGCTGGCTGTGTTGTGAGCCCACTCGTCTCTCTTCTTCCTGCACATTGACAACCTTAACTTATCAACTCTCAATAACGAAGCATCTACTGGTTTTTCATTTGCATAACGACAAATGGCACTTAATTGACCCCAAGGAAACTCATTTCATGTCAGTTCAGATACAACGCTGTGAGGCAGAGTTGGAACAGCTGGAGCAAAACAAGAGCCATCTAAACTCACAACTTGCATTATTTTTATTGTCATGATATTTATTTTCTACGTTTCTGGCCTGGTTGTTGTATTTTCAGCTATTTCTGAGCTCGGGTCAATTCTCCATGTGGACCTGCAAGAACCGGCTGTGGTAGCTTGTAGATTTCTGACAGGACGGCGGAGCCTCTTTAGTATCAAGCCAGACTAAATTAGTAGGTTCCTCATGGGGCAGCTAGAAAAATAGTCTCGTTGGATGCATCGAGCCTTACAGGCGCGAGGTTGTCGAGGTCACTGCTGCTCTGGTTTCTGTGCTAAATGTAAAAATGTATTGTTTATGACCAGCTGGATCTCTTTTTGGAACGATGAATCATGGGGACAGAGTCTGCTTCTGAACGGTTTTATCGTATTTGCTGCATCTGTACTGACTTGATTCTCGCTAGCTTGTGGCAGAGGAAGTGGGTCCGTTTTATGCCAGTTGTAGTTTTCCCAAACTCTCCATATCTGGTAGACTAGTATAAAAAGTCAGGTGGAATACGTATGTGGACACCCACGCACATCACACCCATTCCATGTGAATTCATGTGAACTATAACAGCCTCCACTTCTCTGTGAAGGTTCTTCAGATTGTTTAACTTGGCTTTAGGGATTCAGCCACAAGAGCATTAGTCAGACTTTGTGTTTTTCCTTCTTTCCCGTCCTGTTAATTATCTCGCTCTGCGTTGTATCAAGAGGTCCCGACCTCCCACTTTATTCCAGGATAGATTTTTCGATGTATTTGAGTGATGGAAACAGTAACTCCCAGTGTAGCTGGAGGGCAGCGGGAAGCAGCTTTTGTAATGCTTTTCTGTATGAACTCCTAATGCTCATGCGGTGCTGGTGTTTGCAGGGAAAACAGCCGAAGAGGAGCCACTGTTTCCCCCCCATGAACAGAGAGCACCGCAAGATCATCCACGAGCTGGCCGAGGTTTACACCGTGGAGAGCGTGAGCTACGACAGCGAGCCCAAACGCAACGTGGTCATCACAGCCCAAAAGTGAGACTCTATTCAAACGGTAATAATACAAAAAATTAGAAAATGTTGGCTGTGGATTTGAAGAATTTGTGTCTTTTGTTAATTTTCTCAGGGGGAAGTCCGCCTGTCCAAACTCAACCCTGACATCACTGATAGAGAGAGAGACGTTTGCGAGGGCCCCTCCCCCCATCGCTCACATCAAACAGCACAGCAGCAAGTAGGACTTCCTCTTTGGACTGTTTGCTCTTGTTGTTAATGTTAGATTTCACATTTAACCGTCTGCTGATGACACTTTTTCCTCTTGATTCTCCTCTCAGGGCCGCCAGCGGAGGCACCTGGTCGAAGATGGTTAAAGAAGAGCCTGTGATAGATTATTTTGATGTCCAGGACTGAAATGAGGCCAAAATATTAATAAGAAGAAACCTCAGGATCTACTCATGAACATCAATCTGCCAAAACGTCTGAATCACCTTATTTCATTTGTGGCTTCATAATCAAATAGTTAAGTTTGGGAACACCCGCTTGTTTTATCTTGGAGGAGGAGGAGGAGTTGAATTTCGATATTAATTAAAGTTGATTGGGCTCTGCACGGATCATTTTGAAAAGCTTCTGAGTGTTTTTTTGCCTCCTTTGTGTGCAGCCAGTTCCTGAACCCAACTTAATAAAAAGTAAATTCTTCCTTATTTAAAGGACACAATTGTCTAATTTAATGCGTCGGCTTCAATATTCAATCACTCATAAAACGAGCTCACGACTCAACAGTAGATGCTTCTTCAGGTTGAGCTGGAGAACATTTCCAGCAGTGGGATATCTGCTGGTGTTGAGCCAAGGCCTCCATAGTGGACCTCTGCTGATTGAGTCTGTGGGTGGGTAGGAGTGGGCTGCACTGCGGTAAGAAGGCTTTGTGTGGAAACACGGCTGTGACCCAGATATTGTGCTGCACTTTCTAAAAAAACCTCTTCCTTGGTAAAAACCTCAAGGAATTCAAAGTTGAGGTCAGTTTCAGAACTTATTGGACGTGAGGGATTCATAAACAGGGAGGATGCTGCTCAGCGCGATGGTTTTGAACCTGTTCTCTAGCTGATGGACCGCTTCAGTCTGCAGCCCGAGAGGTATTAAAAGAGTTTAGATGCTGACACTAATATTCTGACATAGACCTGAAGACGCTCCTGAACTGACCCGTTCTTTTCTTTCTATATCTTTTGTGCCATTTTTATGCAAGAACATTGGGCTAAGTTCACCTGCAAGCGATGTTTCAATCGTACAGCCTAAATTGAAAGATTCCAAGTCTATTTTATTTATAGAGCCCATTATCACAAATTTGCCTTAAAGGGTTTTTACAATCTGTACAGCATACAAGACTTTGTCCTTAAGCCCTTAATTTGGAAACCTCACCCAAAAAGAAACTTAAACAGGGGAAAAGCAATAAATGTAAAAATGAAAGGAAAGCAATATAGGATGTTTCTCATTTAATACCTCTTATTTCGGAGAACAAGTCTTTATATCCCTTTAATCGTGATAATATTTCCATGCTTATTAATATGCATTTTCTCATGGTGTCAGTAAATCTCAGTAGTAGTCCTACATTCACGCATTTCATATTCCCCTTTAGATACTACCTTTCTTGATGAAGGGGTTAGCTAATAGCTTCATTAATGGTCAATCGATCATTTACTGAAGCTTTTTATATCCGCTATAACCCATTAACAGGAGCTGAATTTGGGTTGCCAGGTTGTGAAATCCGTTTGGCTGGTAATCGTCCTTTAAATTTGGTAACAATGAAGAATCTCCAGTTCCTATTCGCTCTTAATATACTTAAATTTACAGAACAATACAAATTAAAAAAACAGCCAAACAAATATAAGCAGACTTAAAGATGTACCTAGCTTGACAATAAATGATATACTATAATGTTATAAATGTTGGTAATCAATTAATAGGTGATTCAGTGTAGCCAAGGGGGACTATTTTTCACAATCTGGCGACCAAATGTCCTTAATATCGCCCTATAACTGCTCTATAAAGCAGTTACAACTCGCAACCCCTACATAAAGGGTGCTTTATGAGAAAGTGCCACAGTCCATGTGGTTAGGGAGCTGAAGGTGGTGTAAACAGGTTTTATTCAGAACATCATTGAGGCCTAGAATGAAAAAAAAATGTCTTTGTTCTTGCACCGCACATTATAATAATAACCTGTAGTCATCATGTCACAGTCCTTTTGCTAAAGCTTGCATCGGACAGTATACCCCCCCTCCAAAAAAAAAAAAAAACCCTGCTCCTGAGGATAATTTGATGACGCTCCCTGCCACTGGTGATTTTTCATTATATCGACTCTCCAGCAGAGAGATCCGCGCCTGCGCTCATGCGCCCCTTCCGAACGAGGCTTCACCAATCCCGGCTCTGGCTCCATCCCCGACTCGGCGTCCCACAGGCCAGTGCTAATAAGTCGCCTAGCTGTCCAGTAATGGGGAAGTGATCGGAGAGACGCTGCTGTCTTCAAAGAAGAAAAAAAAGAAGAAGCCGTGCGAGGAAGTTGAGGAGTGACTGGAAGCTCTGCGCCGCGCTGGACCCGGACACCTCCACGGAGAGAGACACATCCTACAGTTCCTGTTGTTGAGTAGCCTAAAAAAAAAAAAAAAAAGAGCGCATAGTGATGGAGAGAAAGGTATGGATGCTACCATTTGTTTTATTGCACATCACTTTGCCTCAGCCGCGCTGCTCCGTATCCGCATCCACCATTAAAACTATTCTTTATCTTATTTTATTTATCCTGTAGGCGCGTTGCCAGCCGGATTAGTGCGCACCGGAGTTTTTTTTTTACCTCGTCTATAGCTGTAATTTACTGTGCATATCTACAATAAATAAAAGCAGGATTATTCTCCACCCTCACGGTGTATTTAGGATTATTCCGGTGTACAGCTTGCATGGTGCACAATGTATCCGGGAATATTGAGCAGGGAGTGGGATGTGGTTGGGCATATGTAAGGCTACTGTAGCCTGTCTGCATCATCACACAGCTCACTCTATGGTTGGGCATATTTAAGGGGACTGTGTGAGGCTATACTGTCTGCATCCTCACACAGCTCACTGTATATTTAAGGGGACTGTGTGAGGCTACTGTAGCTGTAGTCTGCATCATCACACAGCACATCACTGTATAGTTGCAGCACCTCCACCCCTCCACCTCTCCACCTCTCCACCTCACACCCCTCCCCGTTTTTTCCAGCCGACGCAGACACACCAGCGCGGCTTGTTAACCTTGTCTGGTGTGGGAAACAGACACTTGAGGAGTAATAGACGGGATGCACGGTGAAGCAAGCAAGAGAGAGAGAGAGAGAGAGGATCATCCGCTCGCCTCTTTACGCATGCCTTTAATTCATTCGCAGTCTCTCCCCCTTCCTCCCTCCTTCCCTCCTTGAATCAGGCACCATTATATCATTGTGTGAGCCCTTCAGGGCTCACACAATGATATAATGGTGCTTCACGTTAGTGCCCCCCCCCTCCTTTAAGTGTGCATGTGTGTTTTGGATCTTGCGGGGAAAGTTTCTGCTGTGGGTGCACAGCAGCAGCAGGAGAGGAATTTTTGGGGTGTTCAGTTAACGCCAGATCTAGTTCTGCTGATCCAGAGGAAAAATGTAATTTTTAATACTCCAGCTGTAGCCTGCAACATATTCACTTCTATTGGAGCTACATCTGCTTTATGCACGTAGAGAAACCACTAAACTCTGGATTAAAGGAATATGTCGACAGTTTTTCTGCAGAGTTTAGCTAGCCTAGTTAGCATAAAGATTGGAAACTGCTAACCTGGCTAACCTCTAGCTAAATCTCACAAACATGTTATATCTCGTTACACAAACCATATACAGTCTATGAAAAAAACAAGGTGTAAAACAACACGTTATCTGGCCTTGTATATATATACTGGATTATTTATTGGTCAATGCACCCGGCTGTGTTAACTGTTTCCATCTGCTCCTGGTCTTTAGGCAAAGCTAAGCTAACTAGCTGCTAGCTGTAGCTTCATATTTAGCATACAGACATGAGAGTGCTATCCATCTTCTTGTAACTCTAGGCAAGAAAGGGAAAAGTTACTTTTTACTGTATTAAATTGGAGTGTACAGTTGAGGCCAGATCTACATTTGCTAATCCAAAGGAAAATGTAGTTTTTATACTCTAGCTGTAGCCTGCAATATATTCACTAGAGTTTAGCTAGCCTTGTTAGCTTAGTTTAGCATAAAGAATGTATGGAAACCGAAAATAGTTAGCCTGGCTAACTCTCAAGAACATGTTGTTTATCATTTGTTTAATCTGTATTAATATAAAATATAAAAACAACAAGCTATGATGATATGTGGTGATATGCTGGATTATTAGGCTAATATTTTCCACCTTTTACTTTTTAGGCAAAGCTAAGCTAACCGGCTGCTAGAGGTAGCTTCATATTTAGCATACAGACATGAGAGTGCTATCAGTCTTCTTTACTATCTTTGGGCAAGAAAGGGAAACACTAATTTGTGACTGTATTACATTAGGACAAAGTGTGTTATTGTGCTGGTATTGTCATCTCATTATTCTAGCTCAGTCAGTAAAACTTAAAAAGCTTAGGGGAGACTTTAGGATGTCGAAATCTTTTTGATGAGGCCTTCATCCTCGTAAAATGTTCTGTGAATGTGTTGTCGCTGAATTCTTTGCACACTTTAAAGGCCTCAGATGTCCCCCTCTCTCCATCTCTCTCTATCTTTCCTGCTCTGGTTTCATGTACAGAACTGTTGCGTAATGGAGCACTTGGTGACTCAGATGCTTGCACCATCACATGCACTTCGGTTTGATGATCTATATGAAACATAAAACACAGACGCTGGCATTTGGGTGCAACATAGAATACTGCATAACCACCTTTGTTTCCAAGAAATTGCTGCTTTGTGTTGGCTTTCCATATCCCTTCCTGTGTGCAACGACTTTCTTTCCAGATACAATTTACATTGAATTTCCCTGAAATGGTGCAGGGATGGCCGGCCTCTTCTATTCTCGCTGCTCAGTTTTACGTAGTCTGACCAGGAGGCTTTTGAGCTGCTCCGCACTTGTTTTGTGATCGCTTTTATTTTATTTATTGCCTTTGATTTGCTTTTATGTCAAATTATTCTTTGCCGTAGAAGAGAGTGCTTGAACCCTTTCAGCGATACAGGCACACCTCTCTATGAAAACAGGATTAAAATAGCTTAATTAAAATCCACAGTCTTCCCTGACCCAGCTGCTGGCACAGAGATTCCCTTCAGTATAAAGAAAAAGGAGAACAGGCACATTAGTATGCGAGGGGGCCGTCACAGCTCCAGAGGTCTGATGGAGGATCAGAGGATCAGCTCCTTTTACAGTCTGCAGAATGCATGACCTGACTTTTTAAGGAAAGCTGCACAGGACCCCCCCCCCCTCTCTCTCTCCTCATATATATATACACCCCACTCACTCTGCTCAGTCATGTTTGAAATTTAGTTTGGGCGACTAATCAAGGTCAATCAATGTCTCGCTGAGTGTTGGAGCTCTGGAGTTTTTCATAAGTTTCCACACTGTTTCTGCACCAGCAGTGAGCTTGATGAGACGGGAAAGCTATACAGATCTGGCTTTGTATCAATCAAATGTTCCCCCGGCTTTGTGTTTTGTGTGACTCGCAGGGATAAACGGACAAAGGAGCACTTCCTCTTTTTTTTTTGGGCTGGTGAGGAATGTGCTGGCTCAATGGCTGTTTGTTACCCCGGAAACTTACCCGGCTTACAGGGAAACTATTAGTTTCACAAAATATTAGGGCTGAAACGAGCAGAGATTAGAGGAATACTTAACAGCAACACTTTTTGATAATCAAAAATCAAAACGCTGCTGAAATGCGACGATTTGCTGCTTTTTCTTTACCTTACATGATATTAAATTAAATATCTTTTGAGTTTTAGACAGTTTGCCACCTTCAGCTCTGGGAAATTGTAATGGTTGCTTTTCACTTATATATAATAATAATCAAAAAAGAGAATCTGCATTATTTATCGATAATGAAAATCCGTTGGAGCCTTGCTAAATATTATTAAAGTTTAATATCATGTCTACCAATATTATATCTAGAGTGCTGCAGACTGTGCTGTATATAGAGGCTGCAGCTCTGGCATATTTTACACAGACAGACATACAGGGCTCTTATAGCCGCAATACTGAAGATAAATTTCATACAATTTCCAACCTATAAACTCCACTTTCACGCAGCCCTCTGAACCTCCACTGAGTCATTTCCTCTGAGAGATTGTAGGTTTTTATAGTCTTAAATTTGAGCGCTTTGTAACCTAATTAACATGGCGTCCTCCCTGCCTGCCAACAGATTATATTCGTGTTTTTTAATCACTGGTATCCTACCTAAAGCACTATTGCTGGGGTTTTCTTTCAGTTGCATATTACTCCCATTCATAATGTAGAATTGGCCGTCTAATGAGATTGTGCCTTCGACTCAGAGACAAACTGTCTGGGTCCTAATGGTGCTACAGTTCAGCGAGCGGCTGGTTGACCCACTTAGATGTTAATGCTCAATACTGCACCAAATACTGTTGGAGAGCTTCAGTACAACCCAATAAAACACATGCAGTGATAATGTATTATGTGTGCATGTTGATGCATATTTAATAATATTTTACATACAACAAAATGATTAAAGAAACAAATTAAAGTTTAAAATGTATTTTTCTTATCTGGATCAGGTCTTAATGATGATTCCCTGTATCATTGGATTCAAGGCTGCCACCAACAATTATTTTAATTAATTAAGATGATCATTTTCTCAATGAATTAAAACATAAAGTGGAAAGAAATGTCAAAATGATCTCAAGCCCAAGGTGAAGTCTTCAAACAGCTCTTTTTATCTGAACATCAGGCCAGAAATATAATAAATGTAGCATCACGTATACGACAAAGAAAAGCAGCAAATCTTCACATTTAAGAAGCTCGATTAACAAAATAGCTGCTGATTAATTCTCTTTTGATTAATGGAGTATTTGTTTCAGCTTCTTTCCACTTCATTACGAGGCCTTTATGTGTTAGAAGAGGGTGCTACTGTTGGGATTGAGCACCATTTGTGTTTTTATATTCCACTTCATACCATAAGATACGTGGGAAGTTGTTTAAGGGAACGGATGAAGTGCTTATGATTTTGTTGTGACTGACATGAGCTAAAGGTGCTACTTTATCTGGTTGTCTTTTGTTGTTATTTATTGCGCAGCATCTGTAAACTGTTAGTGTAAGAGTGAGGTGACATATGTTGTTGTTGTTTATTGTGTCATCCACATGCAAATGACCAAACCACACAGTCCCTATAATGGTAATGTACCTGAATATAACTGTACATGGAGATCTTTGACTTTTGCTTCTGTTATATACATTTCTACATGTTAGTTATGAGACAGAATATATATGTTATTGGTTTAGGTGCATATGAACATTCAACATATATGTAAATACAGTATTAGCTCCTTTGAATGCCCGCTCGTAGTCTATTAGTCGACTAATCGGTCGTTTGGGTCCTGGTCGACTCAGATTTCTGTAGTCCATTAGTCATATTTTTCTAGCTTTTTTTCATGCTGAGAAACATATGAGCACATCTCTGGTAAACACAAGATTTAACGTGGACAAATCGACTAGTCGACGAAAACAAAGAGAATAGAATTTCTTTGTCCCCTATTGGCACCAATCTTTACACCAATGACTCAAGTCAACAAGCTAATCATCAATTAGAAATAAATGTGTTCAGTCATTTAACAACCATCTGGAGGGAGAAATATTCAGTCTGTTCTCTATTGAGATTCTTTTTTCACACTCCAAATTTATTTGTATGAGTTGTATTAGTATTGTTGTTACTTTTGTTATGTTCACACATTTTTTATTCTTATACGCAAAAGAAAAAGAGCAAAGATATGGCATTTTAAATGATCTGTGTTAGGAATTAGAGTCTATAAAGGACATGTAGTGAAACATGAGAGGCACAAACTATGTGAGTGCTTATTGATGATTGTCTCTGATTGCTACCTGGATGGTGTCTTATGATGCTGAGGGAGCGGATCTACTTTTCAACATAACATTTCATTCATTTCCGTCATTCCTTGGCGTGCAGACACCGTAGCAGTTGATTTCCCGGCCACCTCTCTGCCTCCTCTCCGTGTCGGATTTCTCATCTCTTGTGATTTTGCACTGGTCTCCATGCGGCCCTGCACATCTCCAGTCCTGGCCTCGTTCTGTCGGCTCTCTCTCTCATCCTGGAGGTGCAGAAAGATCCGGCCTAATGCAGAGCCTGGATTGCAGAGTAGGAAAGAGGAGAGAGAGAGGGAGAGTGTGTCGCGGTGGAATTACTCTGCCAGTTTTGATTTGTCATCCTGTGGAATTTTATATGGTAGCCGGGGTCAGTTTCATTCATAGAAAGTGATTGTTTTTCGCTGTATATTTGTGTCAAAGCTGACCCCGTTGACTTCAGCGCTGAGTTAGTTGGGATTTCTTTTTTAGTTTTTACAGTTTCAGCTCCTGTATCAGTTCTGCTGCTGCTGCTGCTGTTTGCTCCAGTTTTGAAGCCGCTGCGGTCGATTGGCTGCTCAGCTTCTTCATAGATTATGTTGTCGTCACGGCTCGCGCAAACAGGAAATGCCCCCAAAGCAGGTAACAGCTTCAGGCCTTGTTCCGGTGTGTGTGTGTGTGTGTGTGTGTGTGTGTGTGTGTGTGTGTGTGTGTGTGTGTGTGTGTGTGTGTGTGTGTTGCTCATTGCTTGCACGGGGAAAAAAACTGGGGCTCATTACCGCGGCTCTGCTTTCCATCTGCTCCCACAATGCCTCCTTTTTTTTTTTTTGAGCTAGCAGCCAAGGAGCTGAACCATAAACGCTGTCTGGATAAAGATGCTTTGTCCCAAACAAGCCATGAAATCCGAAGTCTGCAACCCTAAACTCTGCAGCTTCTCACTTCAGGTGCAAAGCACTGCGGCTTTGTGCAAAAAAACATTCCCCTATTTTCCTCGTGGTTTATTGTACCAAATCACTTTTATCCCAAGCTATCAGCAGATGCCCTATTATTCTCAGGCACCAGGGGAGACCCCTCTCTCTCTCTCTCTCTCCCTCTCTCTCTCTCTCTCTCTCTCTCTCTCCAACTCTCTCTAGGTTCCTCTTCAATACACATGCCAAGCCACAAGAAATGGGCCCTGAAATGTACTTTTCTCCTAATCCCCCCCCCAGTGAAGGTGCAGGTCTGCATGCCTTTGTGCGGACCCTTTGATGGTTAGCTGATGGGGCCATTGAGTAGCTTTCCAAGAGCTCCGGCCTCAAAGCAGCTTGAGCTTTGGTTTTTGTGTGCAGCTCTTAAACCGAAGAAAGAAAAAAAAGAGCGAGAGAGAGAGAGAGAGAGAGAGAGAGAGAGAGAGAGAGGCCCCAGCAGTGGGAGGGAATCAGACTTTACTTCAGTACAGTCCGTATATTCCCCCTCGTGCGCCCCATCTGTCTGTGACAATAACGAGGACGAGGGCAGGTTCCTGGTTTCTGGAATGTAAACGTTGCCACTGGGAGCTGTGGGTTTCACATCAGCACCAGCTTTGTATACTTTATCTCTCTCTCTCTCTCTCACTGTTTTTTCCTTCCTCTCCGGGGCTAAAACCATCAATGTATAGATTTCTCTTCCTTCCTTCCTTCTTCGGCTAAAGAGAGCAAAAACAATCAGATTCCTTCACCAGGCTTTTCTTACCACTAATGAACTTCATTATGTGTACTTTTGGAGAAAATAGAAGAAGAAAATACAACTGCAATGCTACTTAATTGATTTTCAGGTAATTGCTTATCGATATTTCAACCACTTTGAGATCTTTATTGAATGTTAGCGCGTCCTTTCATTTAAACACCAGACATCTTTGATTTGAGACCCTTTAAAGACGCTGAAAACACTTTTTAAATGTAATTACGATGAGTGATGCTGCTCTACATTAACATTTCAGCTACAGTTTGTTATTTCATGTTTCTCTTCTTTTTATCTCCTTGCTTTTCTTAGTGGTTTAAAGTAGGCGGGGCTCACTTGGAAAAAGGTGATGTCACGTACTTCCGTGCACCAATCAGAGGAATTTAGAAAGATTTGAATCAGAATCTGATGTGGGGTTGTTTGTTTAACTCCAATAAATGACGTTTTACTCTGACCTTTAGCATAGATTTGGGCTTATTTAGTGATGATTATTAGCTGTTATTGAGAAAAACTTTGAATTCTTCCTGTGATCCCTCATCACAGCATCACATTGAAGTCTATTTTCAAACAAAAAAGCCAAACATTGCTTAGTTCCAGCATGTCATTTGTGAGTTTTTCCTGCTTTTCTCTGTTTTTTTTATTTTTATATTTTGGTTTTGGACAAAACAAGTCAGTTTCAGACCTTGGGTTTCTGGAGTACAATGACGAGGCATACATCACTATATTTTCTGACATTTAAAACACCAAACGATTAATCGATTGATTAAGAACGTAATACATGATGGAAATAACTCTGATTTAAAGCACTACTCCCTAGATTGTGTCAAGTTTCTACAGAGGCTTGAAGAAGTGAAAGTACCCAGTATTCACTATACACTATTATACTATAATACTATTATACACTATGAAACGATGGTTGCAGCCAGTATCGCAGGTTAGAAAACACAGCTAGACAGTTTGCATACTGCATTGTAGGAAGCGTGACTGTTAGTGTGGGTGCTTTGTCTCTCTCTTGTGGCCGAATACGGAATTGATGAATTTAAACACGAGTTCAAAGCAGTCGGCCCCTCCCTGCCTGGCTGTTTGCGCCCTCTGGTGGTCAGTAATACAACTACCGCTGCTCTCTTACCCCCCTCTGCCCCCCCTGTCTGCTACACACTGGGACATTACCATTTGGTGAGACTGACTGGCTTTGGTGAGGGAGACTGTGGGGGTCCGCCAGGGGGGTACTCCCCGTGCCGAAGGCTACCTTTTTGCATCGCCCGAGCCGCCGGATCTCTTTGTTATCGTAGAACCCACGTGGTGAGAAACGCGAGGTTTGGTACAATCTCAAAAAATCAGCGTGGATACGCTCGACGGGGTTTAGTTTTTTGGACCTTGTAGGACATTCAGACGCGCACCTTGTGCTTGTGTGTCTGTGTGATGAATATATTAAAAATCGTGTTATACATATGTAACACAAGGTTAATTTAATGCATAGTGGGCGGATATTTTTAGCAGTATTTGACTAAATGCAGGACACAGATGCATTTTGCAGAGGTTTGGGTTCCTCGTGTTCCTCAGACCCTCGCAGACTGGATTAAAGACCACTGCAGTACAGTCATCTCACCACCAGGTGTCGCCACCAAGCAAACTAATGCCAGAAGCCGTCAGCAACACATGTGAGAGGGCCCCTTCTGCTCATCGATAAATCCAATCCAATAATCTGGGGCGCGCGAAGGAATTTGAAGGACGTACATTTTGATCTTCCTGCTTCTCCTTTTAGATGCAACTTTTCTGTCAGCAATGGCGTCTTTAGATAGTGATGGATCACATGCATGCATTATAAAACAAACAGCTTGAGAGGCCTCTGAGGGAGGGTGAGTCCTCCAGAAGGTCTTGACCTCCGGCCTGGATGTTGCAGGGCCACTAACCAGCTGTCCACACACACACACACACACACCCACTGCAGAGCTTTCAGAAGAACATCTATCTCTGACTCTATTTTTTTAAGGAACATGCTCGTCGTAATGTGATAATTGAAGGACACATTTGGTGTCAAAGCTCTCCGTCACCTCCTGAGGGGTAATTTCCTTATTGTGACACCTGGTTCGACACTTTTCTGCAGTTTTTGTTTCGCGCCGGCAGAACGGAGGAAGAGGAAAACGGTTGACAATATGATGCCGTCTTGTGTCACAAAGCCAAGCAACCCCCCCCCCCCCCCCACCTCTGAATCACCTCCTTTGTCATTCAAATAACCTCATGAATATTTCACTCCCTTGATCTGATGGCTGGAAGAAGGGAGGGAGAGAACGACAGAGGGGCCGGAGTGGTAGTCTTCTACGTGGCGTGGTTGTTTTAGTCTCAGTAATGACCTGTGTGGTGTGTTACTAGAGTGGGAAACATAACCTTCTACCGTGCCTCAATAAGTAGTTTTATTCCTCACTTCACATCCTTCTGACTTGGTCTTTCACCTTTTCAGTTTTATTGCATTTAGAGGAGAAATCTCCTCCCTAACAGCACCCAATAACACGTGTCAAGTGACACGGTCACCTTGCTGTGTTTGTTTGCCACTACTCTGTGGCCACACGGCCTGCATGCAGCCTCCGGGCCCACTACTGGGTGAAAGGTAAAAAAAACTTAATGAGGCGAGTGGAGGAAATACTCGTAACCTATGAATGCACTCTGACTGAAACACAGGAAGTGAAGGTGCTCTTGACGTGGCCTCGTGCTCCAGTGAAGTGGGGGGGGGCTTTTAGAAGACAAATGACCCAGCCTGGAGTGGCTTTTTTTTTTTTTTAAGTTGAGAAACCAACCCTCCTCCTCTTCCTCCTCGTCATCACCACCACGTCACGACTCCATCATATGGCAGTGTATGTGCACATGTTTAATGATGTGCAGCGTGGCCCCTTTAAGAGCATAATGTCCAGGACTCAGAGGTCTGTGTGCGCTGACCATGGCCTCTGGGTTGGCCACCAGTGTGTGTGTGTGTCTGTGTGTGTCTGTGTGTGTGTGTCTGCAGCAGAGAGGAACTGATTCAAACCTTCCCCAAACGGCAGCCTCGCCGCGTGCCCTTATCTACCAATGGAATGCAACAGCTGTGTGGGGGAGCGGCAGGGTGGGCTGTCTGAAACCCCCCTCACAGACCCCCTCACAGCCCCCCATCCACTCCACCTCCAAGCGACGTGCAGGGCTCCTGAAAGGCAGCTCAACTAAAAAGTGAGCTAGACACACACACAGTGAGAGACTCAGGCAGGGCTGCTGCACATTCAAAATAGAGTCAGAGGGAGGGAAGAGAGAGAGAGAGAGAGAGCCAGGGACAGGCAGCAGTGCTGTGAAGGAGAGCACAAAGAGAAGGAAAGTGGAGCAGGGGAGGGGAACAGGAGGCTGGGTGAAGGGAGAAGGGAAAGACAAAAGAAGGAGAGAGGAGACGTAAGCAGGGTGAACGGAGGGGACCGAGCAAATGGCCACGGAGGAGACGGCGGGGGGAGCCAGGAAAGCCACCAAGAGCAAACTGTTTGAGTTCCTGGTCCATGGAGTGGTGAGTGGCGCTGTCCGTCATTCCCATGAAGGGAGCTGGCATGCATCTGTGTGTGTGTGTGTGTGTGTGTGTGTGCATGAGTCGGCGCAGCAGCAGCAGCGGTCTGTGTGTGAGAGATAGCTGGGTAAAGCTGGCCATGTGAAGGTTATTTTCAGCCCCCCTCCACCACCCTCCACCCTCCTCTGGATCCCAGCCTGTTAGGACATGGCTTGAGAGAACAAGAAGTGGAGCAGCATGGATGGATGGAGCTGAGCAGGAGAAGGATGGGGAGCAGAGGATTTCTAACACACACACACACACACACATACATGGGTACATGTAGGAATAGAAGCTAAGCAGCAGCAGCAGAGAAGCAGCCAGCTCCCCCTTTGGCTAACAGAGGAGCATACTGCTTCCCAGAGAGAGTCACAGACAGAAGGGAGGATGGAGGAGAGGATGGGGGGGGGATGACGAGTCCACTCACAACAACACAGTGAGAGTAGCCTTGCAGGCAGCGTGCTGTTGATTCGGCGTGGAAGGATTTGAACCTGTGAGGTCACGAGACAGATAGACGGACGGACGTAGTAGCGTAGACGGAGCCCCGACTCCTGGAAGTCGTGCAGATACAAATCGGTCCAGTTCATGTGTGAAATGTCAAAGTCAAGCGCTGCTCTCGGGTCAGAGGTTGAGCAACTGTTACCGGAGTTAATGGCAGAATACGGAGGAGTTTGTTTTTGGTAAAGAGCTGAATGAATGAGGAGGATGTCGGAGTCGGCGACACTCGAAAGTTTGTAGCAGACGTGGCTTTGACATTGACTCAAGTGTGTAAATAAGATGGTGATTTACGGCAGTAACGATGTCACAGTGTGCATGTAATCTGTGAGTTCAAACAGTTAGCCTGCTATTGTTTGACGTATCTTTAACTCAGTGTATAGTCAAATGGAAAATACACATTACAACTTCCCGAAGCTCAAGGTGACATCTTCTAATGTTTCGTTTCGTCCGACCCAAAAACCCTAAAACCCGATGATGTTCAGTTTTCTTTGATATGCAATGACAGAAACAGAGATTTTGTGGAGTTGCGGTAGGAATCTACCACAATTTCACTATTTTCTGACCCAACAATGACTCCACTATGACCTGACTCCTACATCATACATGCGATGTGGTTTCTTTTAACTTCCCGTTGAACTGCACCTCTGCACGGAGGCCCTGAAACTTGGAATCACTTCCTAATCCTCAAGTACACGGAGAAGGTCAAAGAAAGACTCTTTGACCGTTCGTCAAACTGAGATCCGATTGCAGGCGCTTTAATCAGAGCTGATGTTTGGCGTACTGACACCAGGTAGATTTATCCACTGAAACAAGATGAGGTATTGACTGTTTGACAGGAGCGGTCATTACAGGGGCTGTGGAGCTGAAGCCCCGTGTGCAGAGACAGACTTTAGGAAACAATGGAGCAGGTGATTGATGAGCCAGATGAGCGTGTCCTCTCAACAGACCAATTAACCTTGATGAGGTCTCTGGCTGCTCCAAGCCAAATATTTCCCTCTGCTTTTCTTTTTTTTTCTCTCTCTCTCTCTCTCTCTCTCTCTCTCTCTCTCTCTCTC